AGAAGGGGTGGCCTGGTGAGGCCATGGCCACCCCAACCTTTATTAATTTTTCTGAGTACTATGAATAAAAAAAAAATATTGGCCCCCCGAGGTCTTCTTTAAATTCGGCTTCCTATTAACTAAAGTTTTGGTCCCATGAAAATAAATCTCTGTCTCCGCCCCTGTGGCAACCTTATCCGAGAAGGCAAAATAAAATGCCGAGTTCTTGGATTGTGTGCTAAATATGGAGAGGATGCTGAAGGAGACCGAAACGCATAAAAAACGACAATAGGAGGAGACGTAAATGGAGAAGGCTGAATTGAAGATAAAATTGTCTAAGGCCAAAAAGGGGAGCACAAAGGAGGTGGAGCATCGGGAACCGTTGGAGTTGGAACTTCGTGCAACTGAGACACAATTACTAAATATGTATGAAGAGGGGTTTCAAAAGGTTGTGTATTAGGTCATCATGTTGTGCATGAACATGGATATCACATATCGAGAATGACGTCAAGGATGGCGAGCTTGTTGATGCACCTTAGTTTTATTTTTATTAATGTGATTTATGGATGATATCTGGATAAGTGTATATAATATAGCTACTTTATGACATTTTGTTTGTGTTTGGATGATGATTAGTATACTTATAACACGTGATTTATGTATTTGACTATGTCTATTATATAATATGTACCTTATAGCTCGAATATATGTATGAGTGTGCATTATAGCTCAAGTATTGTATGAGACATTGATGTGCTTTTAAGACTAACTGAGGTCTTTAAGTGGCCAACTAACCGTATAAAATATCATCATGAAAATAACAAATAGTAATGCAAATAATATAAACAATCAAGTATTATTGAAATATTGGTGAATGAATATGACTTTATTTCAAATAGTAATATAAATAATAATTCATAATTCTCTATATATTCATGAATGAGTCAGACTTTATTTTTCGTTTTAACTAAAATAGCTTACATATTTTTTACTTGGCTCGAGCTTGAATAACTTTATTGTTGACTTCATCTTTGACTTTATGTTTGAATAAGATATTTTATAATTTTTAAGAAATTCAAATATAATAAATTTAATTTTTTATTTTATTTTAAATGATTTAATTTTTTAAATAATTTGTTTTATAAGACAAATTAAATTTATTGAAATTTATTTTAATAAAATATTTTAATTATTATAAAATATAAACATTATCATTATTAAATTCATAAATTAAGTTTATTCTATAATATTTGACCCTTATCCAACTCGGATTAGGTTGACTCGAGATAGAGTAGATCAAGTTAAGTTGTGTCATCTCTATATTAATATATATGTGTATAAATAATACATCATTTTCTACTAAATATTGGTATAAATAATATGTGAGATAATGACACACACACACACATATATATATATATATATATATATATATATATAAGTATAATGTACATTATTATTTTATACATAATTTTCTAATATTTAGGAATTTTATTTATTTTAAATTATTTATCTTCTTAGAAGTATTATATATATATATATATATCTTGTTTATAGAAATAAGTTGATTAAAGAATTGAGGTAAATAGAAGAAGACATGCATAAAGTGATTACAAAGAGTCCTTCTAGAATTATTAGAGTTTCCATACCAGATGCAAATATCAAGATTGATAAATTAGTTAGTGATTGAATTGTTAATGTATTTCAAGAAATCCTAGAGAGAAAATCGTGATGACCATAAAAGAGAGATTTGGAAAGTTTGGTATCTCTATCAATTTAAGTTGATATTTTTAAGTTTATTATACACAATAAATAAAATAGGAAGGTGAGAACAATTGAATTATCTTATATAATAATATAATAATAATATACAAAAATCATCTTTTTACCAATATATTTTAGTTTAGGAAAACTTAAATTAATTTCAGTAGTATTATTAAGATAAATGAGTCCAAAATTAATCATTTTTTAATGATATTTACTCATTTAAATCTTTAAGATCCAATTTTAAATTACAAAATCATCAAATTTATATAAAAATATTATTCTATAAAAAATAATTAAATAATATAAATATGAATTAATAAAAAGAACTACTACATAATTTAAGATAAAATACATAATATAAATAAATAATATAAATAAATAAAATCAATAGTAAACCCTTGATTGCTTTTTGAACATTATAATTGATGAGTTATAATTCATGCTAATAGATAAGAAAACATGATAATAAAAGGTGAAATATTCATACATATCACTTCAAATAAAACTCATAAAATACAAGGAAAATAAGATTTTAAAATGAATTTCTTAATAATAAAATTTTAAAACAATTTTTAAAATAATTTTAAAATAAATATATAATATTTTTGTCATAACGTCGTGCTACAGAAAATATTTAATAAAATAAAGATAAAAAAATAAAAAAAATTAAAATATCGTGATTAATCCCTTCCTTCGTATAAAAATTGATTTGCTCGTAAAGATGTTCAATTATATAACTGAAAGTAAAACAACAAAATAAAATATTTCAAACACTAGTACTCTATTTGAGTCACTTCAAATCATAATACAACAATAAAATACATTTTATGTCTATTCAACAACATACTAACACCATGAATGATATTTAACTGTATTCTAACATTCGGAGAAAAGTTAATTTTGAGTATTCACTCCACTTGTGTCTACCCGCATAACATAATCCTCCAATGTTAAAGTTAGCAATACTATGAGTTTATATCTAAACTTGTTTTCTTCGTTTTAAGTTAAAACTTTAATGGAATAGTTTAATACTAAACATTTAAACTATTTCATATATCATTTGATAATATTTACAATTATATTAAAATAATATATTATTAATAAATCATAAATGAATATAAAAAAATAAAATAATATAAAAAACATAAAAAATTAAATTTATAAATATATATATATATATATATATATATAAATATATTTAATAATCATTAAATTTGATGGACTAAAATTATAAATATTAATATAAATTACAAAACTTTAAAAATAGAAACTAAATTTAAAACTAAAATAATAAATATTAATGTAAGTTATACAATTTTATAAATAATAATCAAAATTATTTAAGTTATAAAATTTTGAAAAGTGAATTCTTCACCTCTGAAAAAAATTGCCATAAAATTTAAAAAGAAACTAATATAATTTGGAATTAATTCTAACACCACCCATAAAAATATTATATATATAAAAAATCTAAGATTATAGTAATTTGGAAGGTTTTAGTCTGAGCTTTAAAATTTTAACTAAACATATTTTATGATTTAAAATATCTAAAATCTATCTTCTACTGTTTTAAATTTCCATATACAGCCATCATGAAAAAATAATAATGAAAAAATGATAATATTTGACCTCCAATATTCTAGTGGGCGGCAGAAATTCATTTCCCCGTTAACCCTTAGTTTATTTGACTGGATAAAGCCCAAATTAAAAAAAAAAAATAATATATATATATATATATATATATATATATATATATATATATATATATATATATATATATATAAAGAATATCCCGAGTAAGTTTCCAACATAAATAAATAGTGTATAAGGATTAAAATTTTACGAATTAAAAATTATTTAAGAATAAATACTTTTTATTAATTGGTACTAGGAATTCTTACTATTTTATTTCAAGTATATATTTTGAGTAAATTAATCTATCAATGCATATTAAATCTTAATGTCTGATTTTACAATTTTTGTTAAACAATGTAATTGACCAATTCTAATTCATAAAAAATTCACAGTTATATTAATTATTGTAACTATAACTACTATAAATTTTATTATTTGAACTTTCAAATTAATAACATAATTACATATTTTTAATTATTATATTTGAAAACAATATATATATATATATATATATATATATTAATAGTTTTTATTCATTTATTCTCTTACAAAATTTGTAAATATATAATTTGAATGTATATTGATATTTATAATAATTATCTATTTATGTACATTAATTAAATTATATAGCTATTAACATATCTTTTTAATATAATAAATGTCTTAACAATTTATAATAATATAAAAATACAAATTATTAAAAATGGTAAAACTGATGGATTTGTCTTATTTCTACTATAATTGTGAGGACTAATTTATCTTATTAAAAGATGAATTAGTTTGTCAATAAATTCTTTTATATGTATATTTTTAAAAATATATATTTTATTATATAAATAATTTTATATTTTTAGTTATTAATTACTATTTTTATTAAATAAATAAAAATATTATATTTATATATTAAAATAACTAATTATAATCAATAATTAAAATTTAATTAATTAATTTTTATAATTTAAATTATAATATATTTATATATTTTTATAATATAATATAAAAAGTATAATATTTTAATTATATTTTTTTATTTCAATATATAAATATATTTGAAAATAGGTTAACATATTAATGCATCATTTTTTGGAGATAATAAAATAGACGGAAGAAAGTAAAACTGTCAAATTAAAATCACCCACCTGCCTAGTCTCATAGCCCTATTTTATGATCTTAAAAATTATAAATTTAATACCGACACAATATATGGAGTATTTAGATAGCATTTAAAAAGCAAAAAGTCAACAAATTCATTAAATCTTACTAAATGTGTTATTTGTTACCACGTTTCTTTTTACGTTATAAACAAATTTGAAGTAAGATATAAAGATATGGGTAACTTTCCACAAATTCAAAGACAAACAACAGTCGTGGATTCCCTTCCAAGGTGTGAAAATGACTTTGCATCAGCAAGCACCCCTTCATTTTCTCACCCTTTTCTTCTTTCCTTAAATAAATACTATTTAGTATTATTTATTATTTTCTATCTAATCTCAATAAACGATGTAAGTTTCTCTCATTTCATAATCTTGGCTTCTGTTCCATCTTCTTGGTCTATCATCCTGGTCTTTGCCTCTTCTCTCTTTCTTTCTTCTCTTTTCTTCTTCTTTCTTCTCTCCATCATGACTGGGATTGCTGATGAAGCCCCTGTGACCCTCAACACACTGAAGCAGTTAATGGCACAGTTTGCCAAAGAGAGAGACTGGGACCGTTTTCACAGCCCAAGAAACCTTCTTTTGGCTCTGGTATGCTTATTTTACAATACCCCGAGGAAAAAAAAACACTTTTTTGGTTTATTGTTGCACCCTTTATTGAACTTTATTGGTTTATCGTGTAGTTTGTACATATTACTCGTTTGTTTATGTGGGTAACGTGGTTCTTTATGATCCATGAAAGAAGGATAGGGTATAGAGAAGAAGAATCTCTTTTGTTGTTATTGTAATTTGTTAACCCGTTTTCTTTTCCGGTTTTGTAGACGACTCACCTGAGTGACACCTCATATAAAATGGGGTTCTTGCAGATTCTTAATGTTTGCATAAAGAAAAAATTTCCTTGCAAGTTGCCTTTTTTTTTAAAATAGGGATGAAGCTATAGGCTGGCTTTGGATGTTGTTTTCCCCATTTGCTTTTATGTATTCTCATGCTTTTAAAGTTACTTTGAAGTAAAACCATTTATGTGTCATACTTTTTATTAGAAATTTGTATACAATTTAACATCAAGTGTGAAGTAGAATTTAATATAGATTTCTCATCTCAAAAGTAAATGTTGTATCTAGATTCTTCTATTGTTTGTACTTGAACCTAATTTATATTCACTGTTTTGTAAAATATTTAAAATATAACGTGTTTGAATTTACTTCATATATACCACTGTTTAAATCCTATCATGTAGTGAATGTAAACTATAATACACACCTCTGAGATTTTTTGATCATTTTACCAAATCATTCCTTTTGATGTTTATAAACTGGTAAAAAATAAAACAAAAGAGAGAAGAAGGGAGGCAAATAGATTGTTTTAGAGTCCATGAAAATTTAAAGCATTTTGTTTTAACCGAGAATCACGTAAACCGCCAGGGAACACGGCGAGTTGGAACAAATGACTCACTATCCATCCAAACATGCAGTTACTTTTTCATAATTAGTATTTGTCATGGTCTTTTTTATTTTTTTTAAGATTTGTCACCTTGTGAAACCCTAGTCAAAATCGACTTTGCAATGTAAACATATTACATGTCGTGGTTACCATAGAAGATTTGTAATATTTTCGGCCTTCAATTTCGCTTTTAACTATTCAACTTTTGTTCCCACCTAGAGTGGACAAGTGGGACATACATAAGTATGTTTAGTATTATACTGAAGGACAAGCTGAAGCTGCAGAAATAAAAGGGTTGTAATTACTATTTACTGCAATAAAACAAAGGGTATCTAAGACAAACTTAGAGCTGTAATTGAGTTTTTGATATTGTTTTTGGTGTTGACAGGTGGGCGAAGTAGGGGAATTGTCTGAGATATTTCAGTGGAAAGGTGAGGTTCCAAAGGGTCTTCCAGATTGGAAAGAGGAGGAAAAGGTTCATCTTGGAGAAGAGCTTTCTGATGTGTTGCTTTACCTTGTCAGGCTCTCTGACATTTGTGGCGTTGATCTTGGTAAAGCTGCTTTGAGAAAGGTTCAACTCAATGCTATAAAATACCCTGCAAAAGTATGCAGAGAGGTGGTTTCAATTTCAAACAAGCCAGAGGAAAACCCTTCCACCAATAATGGCACTGTTCCTGATGCTGACTGATATAATGTTATATTACTCTTTATGATAATTATGTGGTGGGTTTGTGCTGTGTTATGCTGCCATTGCATGGAAACTAAACCGGTGTTTAGTGTTTGGTAAATGGTAAGTGTATTTTGAGATTTGTGTTTACTGTGTTGGCAGAATCAAATCCCCGTGACAGCTATGATATATGAAGAAATCTAATTCTTCCATTTTTGCATACCTTACCTTTAGCATTTTGGGGACATTTTGGATGCATTATTAGATCCCGGATTCTCTGCAATTTGATATTTGTTGGTGTGACCTTTGGGTTCCTTGGCTCTATGAAAACATTTTTTTATGGGATAAATTGCGATTGGTGAGCCGAATTGATATTCCTTTTGGTCCATGGAAAGAGAAAATGCTTCCCTTGTTCTCCTAGGAAAGAAAATCGGGCTCTTTGTCGATTTGTGGCTTTGTGGTTTTACTGTGCTTGCAAAACGGCCAAAATTATGAATAGTTAAGAATCCATGTTGCAGTGCACATCACACTTCTAAACGGACGTAAGAGGCCCTTTTATTAAACAAGAATCAGTTTCAATGGATTTCCAATTTTATTATTTTATAAAATTGGTACCTATTTTTAAAATAGGTATATAAAGTAAAAGTTCTTTAATTAACTGTAACTCTGTTATGCATCAATGTCATGAAATTTGAAATGAATGAATAAAGTTAAATGATTCAATAAAAATTTTAGTGTTAAAGTTTGAAAAATCAGTTCTTCCATTTTCAAATAAAAAATTATATATAAATACTTTTAAGAGATAAAAATGTGAATAAAAATAAAATTGGTGTATTTATAAACAATAAACTTAGACAATAAATTTTAAAAAATAATTTATATATAAACTAAATTTTATTTTTCCTTTTTAGTTTTTTCTTAGAGTGGTTTGCGAAAAAGTTTTTTTTAATAAATAGATCATATTACATGTAAATTAAAAAATATATAATTAAAAAATATTTTATATATTATTATAAATGTATGTTTATTTTCCTAATATATGACGAAAGTTTCTTTATTTTCTAAGATAATACATAAATGTTTTGTTGGTGATAATATTCCAACAAATCACCATTAGGATTCAAAATAGGTTTAGTCAGATGAACTAGTCCAAAATGTTCGAAAAATAGGCCAAATTAGACAAAAGATTTATAGCCTAAATAAAATCAAACAATTTTGGCTTGATCTATTTAGGATATGCCTAAATGAGTTTAAGTTAGGCTAACCCGTAGGTTTATGAGTTAATTTGTTTTATAAAATAATAATTATTTTATCAATATAATAAAAGTAATATTATTTTATTAGAAAATATAAGTATAATAAATTAATTTGATAATATATTTTGTTATATATATATATATATATATATATATATATAATTTAAAAGAATAATAAACTTTAAACTTAATTTTCATTTACTTTTATCATCTTCTTCCTCTTTACTATCGTCATCATGTTTTTAAGGACCAATTATTTAAAGATGATATGTTCTTTAATGTAATGTATTTTTAAAGTATTATGATGCGGGAGTTATATTAAATAATAAGACTAACTTGTTGAAGTAATGCAAAATTGACTCTAAACTTTATCGAAATGCACTTACTAGATGCATTATTAAACATGATCTTCAATTTAGATATGTTAAGTACGATGGAAGTAAATAAAGTTTTAAATTATGATTTTAAACCAATTATTAGAAACATTTCAACTAACGTGTTATCTAATATTTTTTGTAGGATATTTTAAATCAATAACTATAAATACTTTAATTACAAATATTTATAACGTGTATTTAATTGAAAAGAAAAAAGTAAAAGATGTGTTATCTAATATTTTTGATAGGATATGTTTGACTTCGATATATGAATAATTATAACTCGTTAAGGCTATATAATTATAGCAACTCAATTTTATGATTTTATTTTACTTGAATAAATTATGAGTTAATTTTAAATAAACAAATGAATGATATTTTTTTTCAAACAAAATTAAAAAAAATAAAAAATTTTTAATTAGGCAAAAAATGGCTTGTTAGCGTGTTGGCTTACATAAGGCCAGATTATGTAAAAAATTTTGGCCCTTTTTAAAATATAGGTTAGGCTGGGTCATTATATTTTTTTACTTAGTCCGTAAGGTCAGGTCATACCAAACTAGATTGCCCATTTTGACAGTTCTACTCATGACGAATATTGTGTTAGTTATTTTTTATATGAGCAAAATAGTATCATTTAAGTGAAAATACTTTTGATATAAACGTTTCATCTATTACACATTTTGCTTGAGTGATAAGTTAGTGATTGTACAAAAATATGTAAAATACCTTTGAGACTCTCACACAATTTTTTTTTAAAGCAAGTTATACCTAATTCAAATATAGTTATCCTATCCTAATATTTCCCACACATTCTTTCACACATCATTAATCTATATCTAATACATATAATCATAATTTCTAATACAATATCAATAATCAATTTTTGATAATTCAAACAATGTGATAAAGTTACCATCACAATCCAATTCATCTATCCAAGGTTGGTACTGAATTTCCTATTAGCTTCCCTTACCTCAATTTCACAACCTCTAATTTCAAAAACAACAAAAACTCCTAAAAATCACATGAAGTCAATCTTCCTCACAAAAAAAAAATTCAATTAACAAAAGAGAAACTTACTCAATTGAAAATTTCGATTGACTCTAAGAACACTAGGACATGTTTGGATTTAGAAAAAGATAAGGGGGAAATGAGAAAGTTAAAGAGAAGGAACTATTGTAGAGAGATAAAGATTTCATGAGAATGAAGTTTGAATAGTTAATTTTTTTTATTTATAACTCTTTTTAACTCTTTTTAACTTAACCAATAAAACTTCAAATTTTACACAAACTATATATATATAAAACAAAATATCCAAACAATAAATTTTCTCTTATTCTCCGTAAACAACTCAATGGTAGGACTAATTATATGAAACATCCTTTACTCATGTGTAACAATACGATCATACCAATTCATATAAAAGACATCATACAAATTAGGGTAAAATAGTAATAACATTTTTTTCCCTTTATATAGGTATTAAAAAATATTCTTAATGTCCATGATATAAATAAATAAATCAAATATAATAGATCATGTATCTAATATTTTAATTTGAAAGCTACATCTTATGTCATCATACATTGCATTCAAAATAACATACATTTGACTCTACTTTCCAAAAACTTACATACATTGAATTGAACTTGGAGATCGACACCCGTCACACTACTTTTCCTTAGTGGATATTTCCAACATAGGTACATAATTAGAACATGTTCTCTCATGTGACAAGGCAAATCTCTATGACTTGCTGAACACAGTTCTTTTTTCACACCGTAAGCTAAATCATGAAGACCTCATTCGACTCTCACCATCTGATACTTTCTTTTATGAGTTAGGATATCTCCTTCAAAATCTCAAATTCAATACATCACCTACATCTCAACATAGTATTTCCTCATTGGAAATCACTATGTTAACTTGCATCAAAATATATATTTTTTATGCATATAAATAATACTCAACATACCTCATTTCATATTCATAAGTTATATTATAACATCATAAATCACATTACAATAAAATATTTTTGTATGACTATAATAACACTTAGCGCACCTTATTTCATGTTCACATGACATATAATGTTCATAACATATAATTTTTTAAGAGGTAGCCCATTCACTTTCTAAGTTCATAACATTACAACAAAATATTTTTGTATGCATATAATAACACTCAAACACCATATTATGTTCATAACATATTCTAACATCCTAAGTCATATACATATCATTTTTCACGTTACAACAAAATATATTTTTCTATTTGACCTTTACCTACTATTTTGCACATAACTTTCTCTTTATATATCTTTTTAACTACTTTTGTTTCATTGGTTTAAGGTTAAGGGTTTAATTTGCATATATTGAACGATTAATTTGGAGTTTAAAGTTTTTTTATATAATTTTTTGAAGTTCAAATATAAAACACTTTAAACTTTAGGAAATTTCGCTTGAGCAAAAAATTTTAGTTTAACAAAAATCCTCTAGAAAACCATTTTCTTTAAGCGAAAATTTTCTCCTACAGATTTCCGACACAAGGATCCATAATCAAGGATCTATTACCTGTTTCAAATCATACTAACTATGAGTATCTAACGGTAACCTTACTTATATCGTCATTCAACACAATGAGACTTGTTTGCCCTGAAACACTTGTCAGAAATATTTTCGACACAAGCATCCACAATCAAGAATATGTCACTTATTTTAAATCGTACTCAATCAATCTATCACCACATGAACCATTAGCTCTGATACTATTAATGAGTATTTCTAAAGTGGGCATAAACATAGGAAGATTTTTACAAATAGAACACAAATCAATCATATAAGAGAATATGACATTATCTTCAACAAAAATAACTTAAGACATTAAGTTATAGGTCTTTTTCTCTCATAAGTTACTTAACTTTTCCATTTATACTCAATGTGAGATTTCAACTTACACTTAAATTCTCAACAATTATATATATCAACAAATTTGCTAAAAAACAAATGTATTAACAAGTTAACTCATTATACACACAAACTCATCTTAATTAGTAAAATAAACTCATGAATTCAATAACCATATAGAAAGCCGTAGTAACTAAAACACAAAATAAATAAGTAAATAAATAAATAAATTTATATATATAAATAAAAGATGTTTATTAATATATTATTTTTTATTAAGATATTTAAACTTCACTATATGTTCTCCCATTCTACATAGTTAAATATTTAAGAGTATAGCTTCCATATTTTTATATTTTCAATCAATCAATCAGAAAATGATAATTTTAAATATCCACAAAATAGTCATTTTTGATTATATAAAAGTTACTTATTCCATCAACCCATAATCTATATTCTTTCAAGGTTTACTGATTTACCAATTGTATATTATTCTTTAGGATAGAAATTAATTCGTGGTCCTACTAATTAGTTCTCTCATGATTACTTTGATATAGTGTGATGCAGAAATTATTTAACAATGAAAAAGTTGTTATAGACAAAAGTTAAGAGTTCGAACAGAAAGATAGTCTAATATGTAATTTTTTAAGAACAAAATTATTTAACTAATTATTTAATAATTAATGTTTTTTAAGAATAAAATTATGACTTATTGTAAATAATATTTCAGATGAAAATGTAACTCTTGTAAGCAATTACAAAGCTTTATGAGAAATCTTTGTCTAATTATCGAAATGATTTTGTAGGATAAATCTAAGTTTATGAAACTATAAATACTAGGTTCATAAAGTTTACCCATAGGAATAATTAATTATATCTCCTACGATCTAATTAAGGTTATTTAATGGCCATGATGGAGCGTCATTATTCAAAAATGAATTAGAAAAACAATAATGTGATAACTTTTATCTGGTGCATGGTTCACTCCATTTAACAAAAGGCTTTTTCTTCTTCCTGCTCTTACGGAAAGCATGAGACAAGTTACAATAATAGCTTCATAGGAAAAGAGTTCTTAGGGCTACCTTAAGGTCATTTTATTCGATCTTAACTTATAAGCATACTCCTCCTAATGATGGCAACCACAACCCTAAACTACTAAAGAAGAATAAAGGGATTCATCTCAAGCATTATTTTATTTGCACACTAGAATTATTCCTATGGCATTAGCCTTGTTATAATTGCTGCCATTATGACCATTACGATGATGATGAATGACGTACCTTTTAAACATACTATATAAGAGTTTAGTGTCATGTAATGTTGCACAGAAAAACATTTGGGAAGAATAGAGTGCTTACTAAGATGTTCAAAAGGGGTGGTGGTGGTGTGAGCATGTCCATGTTGTCAAATTCAACCATGTTGGTTGGGTTGTGCCGTTCCAGGCGGCGGCTCCGGCGACGGCGGGGCAGTAGCATCAGGCTAGGGAACAAGAGAAGAGGGTTCTGCCTTGGAACACGTCCTGTGGTACAATGGGGTGTCATGGCTCCTCTTAGGATGTTGAAGAAGATTATAATGGGAATAGCACCAAAGGGGCATTGGATAGAGGCTTATTGTTGGTCTCTACCTCTTCTACGCCCCCAACTATTTCCCCTTTGTTAACCACAAGTAATGGATTTCATCTCCTATCTTTTCTTTTTCTTTTCTCCTTCTTCAAAATGTTCAAAGTAAAAGTGTAAAACTAAATACAGGTGTTGGTACGTAAAGGAAAATCAACAACCACAAAAAAGTTGTACTGAACTTGGAGGAAGAACATGTATACATTCTCCTTTGTAAACCCTCATGTAAAATGTCAAAAAGGCTAAATTACTCGTTTGCTTTAGTGCAATCAGACATGTTTAATACGCACTTGATCATGTTTGTACCACGTCCTTGGTTTTAATGTGGGGATGATGCACGTTTAGGATGTTCTTATATCATTTAAAATGTAAGACTATGTTAAGATTCAAAACATCAAAAGCAATTAGTCTTTCTAATTATAAAAGGGTTGTGACTAAGACCACTTGGTTTGAATTATAGAAACCAACATGCTGAGAAAAGAAACGATAACTAATTAAATTGAATAAACTTTTTTAAATTCAAATTTCGAAAACAATACAATTCAACTAAACCAAAATTTTATTAGATTTAAAAGTACTATTTAACTATAATGTACAATTATTCAGACTTGTTTATGAACTTGATTACATTACACTAAGCTAAACTTCTCTACAGGATCATATAGGATTCATTAAGATTTATGTCTAAAATTCATATTTATATTTTGTTGCAGTTTAGTAAATTGAGTTCAAATAGCAATAAAAAGTTTAAAAGGACCCCAGATGTGATTGATTGCCAATTTTGCATTTCGTTGCAAGCATGTTCAAATCTGTTTCGCACGACTAAATTAATACCAGGCAGCTGTAACAGATAATGATCCAAAAGGAAGTACTTTTCCGTTTAACAGGTAAAAGCTGAGACCACATTTTGTGACCACCAAAGTCATAATAATATAACAATATAATGCTCCCCTTGATCAAGAACAAAGTTTACAGAGAGCCCTACAAAACGTACAACCCAAACGTTACCTATAAAGGAAATACAAAAGCACAAAGAAAATGCATACATGTAATTTACACCGATACAAACATACCAGTCTTCTTCATGTTCATAAACCAAAACCCGTTAGTTTAGTAGTTACTTCTTTCCAAAGTATGAAAACAAGGTTGGTTGTTTATCATTTGCAGTTTTTGTTTTTTCCTTTTTCTTTGCAGGGGTCGAACTTATCTGATCATGATTTGCCAATGGTGGCTTTGCATCAGCTGAAAAAGTCTCATACTCACGCTTAATTGGGAGTAGAGAAGCATTTTTAGAATGGGAAGAACCACTGGATTTTAAGTCTTTGTCTCCCTCTTCAGTTTTAGTTCCTTCAATCAAGTCTTCTGTAGGTTCAGTCTTGACAGATTCATGACATGATATCTTCTGCTCTGGCTTTCTGTCTTTACTTTCAGCTCCCTTTTTTGAGAAGAACTGAGAGATTGACGTGTTCCCTTCTGCCTTCACTGGAATCTGCTGGACATGGGATAATGCTAACTAATGGTTTCAAAATTCCAATATTAAGAATAAAGTCTCCCAAACATTTTATAATCATGTATATATAAGCAAGAACATGACAATAGTTAACTTATGATACAGATGGTCCCCTTCAAAAGTCACGGCACAATAAGAAGACCATTGAGTGTTCTGGCATATTTGTTTGTTATATTTGAATAGAACACAAGTTGAACTCAAATTGATCAAAGCACAACTGATGTATCAAAAAAGATGGGGATTGGATCCCTCACATCATAGTCCCACTCTTTAGAGATCCTATATAACTTTCTAGAGCCCAAAAATCAAAAAAGAAAAAACTAAAAGTTAAACCATTGTCATTTAGATCAGATCTTTTAAATGACCAGTACTAAACAAAGTAAAGTTATTTTTTTTTTAATTTATACATCAAAGAACAAGAGAGAATAAAAATCTAGGTAAGTACAATTGCAGATTCAGATAAAAATCATTGGACTTGTTGATTGAATTACATGTTCAACTCAATACACCAAGAGGTACATATTTAAGATGTTCAAACTAAAGAAATGAAAAATGATGAGAAACATCAAATGAATGTTCAAGAGTCATACCTCCTTTATGCACTCAGGTCCATCAAATGAAGACTTGCCCATGGCAGGTGTCACTGGGTACCAGACCTGAAGATTAAAAGAATGGGGAAACTAACAACATTAAATGCAACGATACTAAGCCAGAAATCTTATCGACATGACTGGTATTAATGAAGAAAACAGAAATTATAGCCTCAAACTTCTGTGAAACACGTACCAAATCAGATTCTTCGTATGGCTTCATCACACTCTTAAAACTGGAATCAGAACTGCTTAGCCAGGTATCAGTTGATTCCTTGCTGCCCAAAATAACAGGCATTCTGTCTAAAGAGATACATTAAAGTACGGATATGTAAGTATTTAACCAATATAATATTAGGCCACTCAAATATGATAATATTTCAGCAGTAAGGGGAATTAGTTTATAATCTAATATATCCTCAGAATTTTGGGCATGAAGGTTTAGCCAGTCTCCACATATGTTATGACACTTGATAGGAAACTTGAGCACTATAAAGATCTTTTTTTTTTCTTTTTCCATTTACAAAAGGAAAAGGAGGCATACCTACTAAGGAATTCTAATAGGAGTAGGACAAGAACCGTAAAAGGTTGCTAATATTGAATAATAGAAAAATCCACATAAAAGGTCATTTCCGTCAGTATCCCACAATTTAGAGTGCATGACTCACCGTGAAGCCACTGAAGTGCTGAAGATGAAGAGGTTGTAACAATAGTGAATGTGTATAGCGTTTCGCCTGCAGTTAACAATATCACATCAACACTAAAAGTGACCATTCCTATTGGATAAATTCAATTCCTTACATCTTTGGGCAGAAATATTTACCTTCAGAATTTTGCCATGAGTCGTAAAGAGCTGCAAAGACAAGTGGTCGTCCATCTTTGAAGTGAATATAGTAAGGCTGTTTCTTTGAACCATCCTTTTTCCACTCATAAAATCTTAAACATATATTAAAAAAAACAAATTAATTGAAAGAGCTAAATATGCAAAGCATGGATGTATTCCACAAAATTTTGGAAAACTTAGGACAAACTATAAAGGAAGGAAATTTTATGTTAACAAAGAAATGCGTTGAATCAAAATTTTGAAAATATTAATAGAAGAGCAATATGGCATAAATTACATAAGAATAAAAGACTAAAAATATAATAATAAGTAAAGGTATATATACTTGGAAATTAGCATATCAGTTGTCAGGGTGGAATTTATCTCGTCCTAATGAAGAATCCATCACAACTCTCAAATATTGTTATGTATGAAACAGTAAGATAAACACACTGGGAGTACATTGTCTACCCAGCAAGCAGAACTCGTTTTGATTCAGCCTAGACATTTTTAGTAAACATGACAAAACGTACTATAATATTAGAAGAAACAGTATTAGGAATAAAAGTGATAGGACATGGGCTGATAAAGGAACTTTGGGCCAACCACAAGTTACTGTTGCTAGTGAACGGCCCAAGAGAAAGATTTTCCCACCAAAGAATCTAAGAGACTATGTCTGGCGAACCAATTCTGTTATTGGATGCTCTATTGGCATTATAGTATTAGCTAGCTTAATATTAGAAATATAGATGCTAGATTGCATTTTATCATTTTGCATTCTGTTACTTGTCAATTTGCATTCAGTTATTTTCCATTTTGCATTCTATTATTTGTCTACAATCTAAGCCTCCTAGACATCAAAATATAAGCATAGTATTGAATCCATAAAATATTAGCTCATTTCCCATCTCATACTCTAAGGAGGCTCCTAGTCCTCAAATTCTAGGAATTACTCTTGCTATTCTTCTGTTATCCTAACAAAAAGCTCCAGCGAGAGGAAACACTCCCAAGTCATGTTAGTGCCAAAGAGAAGAAGAGTGGGTGAAAATATAATTAAACAAGAAATGCAATACATACCCTTCTACTGCTACAAGGCACCTACTTTTCGGAAGCAATCGACGAAACGATGCCTTCTCATCTATAGACTCAGATCGAGCATTAAACTGCAGTATAGAGCATATTACACATCAGATAGAGTACTTTGTAACAGCTTATAATTTAAAGTAGTAGTATTTTAGTTGACATACTCCAATAATGATTATGAAAACAGTAAACACACCAAGAAGTTTCATAATGAACATTAGCTAAAAGACATTTCTAACTTCCATAGTAACAAAGCATAAAGCAAAATTGCCAGGCTCATATTTCAGGAATGATATGATGATATTTAAGAGAGGTTCGAAATGATTCAAGAATTCAATCAGGAACCTGGTTTCATAATCAAGGTCATTTAAATATAATATTTTAATGACAAATTGAGTAATTTTATTTGTACTCTTATTCACAAATTGAAATTTGGATACAAAAATATCATACAAATTGGAATTCGAAGATAAGATTGTGACTCACACCTATTATGGCCTAATATCTTACAGGATAAGATAACATATATCATTTCAATTAAAGTGGATTTGTTCTTCTCTTCAGTGACACGTTTGTAGTACACACAATGAACACGTGTAAAGATAAGAAAATCTTATTTAAGTAACTTATCATGATGACAATCATTAATTAAAATCTTTACTTTGAATCTGATCTTGTAGAATTGGAACATTTCATCTGTCGGGTTTCACTTCAAGTCATGCTTCCAAATGGACAATTCATTTTTCCTAAGGATCCTAGAGTTTAAGAACAAGATGCCTCCAGACCCATAAATTGGTTTTCCTGGTATGATTTTTCTGTTAAATATGTCAAGGGAACCCAAAACAGAGTCCCTGACTTTCTCTCGAGACCAAAAAAAATTGTTCAATTAATTTCTGACACTCACAGTTTTCCCCTCATATTCATGGTCAAACCTTTGTCCAACAGAGCTAAAACCATAAAAGTTTATCCTCTTGGATTGACCCCAACTTCTCCAGTCGAAATCCTCCAGTATGCAAAATCTCATTATCTCTATTTTCTCCATGAAACCATTAAGTACAAGACCTCTCCAACAACCATTTTTTATCCTAATATCCCTTTCAGAAGAATTTTTGGATTATTCTATGAACCTGGATAGGATCTTTGTGAACCAACACTCCGGACAATATGATGTAACACTGTCCAATATTCCATTCTCATTGCTTTAAAAATGCCAATGGCTTTCAGTATCCTAATAAATCCTTACAAAGAAAAATTTCATTTCTGGACTCTAATGGAATGGTTCTCACCGTTGTCTTGATAGAGACAAGAATTAAAAAGAATCTTAGATTTCCAACGACAAAGGAGAATGACTGAGATTCCTCTTAAATCCCTCACTTCAACCTTCATCATTCACCATCCATTAAACAATTATGATCAAGGAACGAAGTCTATATCTACAAAAGCTTTGAAACATATCTTTAGATGATAACTACAAAACCCAATTGACCCGACATCTATATAAAGTCAACAGTTATCATCATATATCAATGGACCCCAATTTTGCCAGCTCATCCTAGAGACTACTAAGTTCTTATCTAGGATCATTATAAAAAATGATGGTTCCCAAAAGTAAGATTCTTTAAATTAACGACTGAGCTTATGTACCTGAAGATCAGTTCCAAAAAGCTGAAATTTTGACAAATAACTATAACGAGGGAATGATGGAAGAGATGATACTTCACAAAAAGATGTATCCTTACTAGGATCCACTACATGGAAACATAACTCAAAGTGAAGCCTGACAGATGAATTGTTCTAATTCTACAAGATTAGATTCAAAGTAAAGGCTTTAGTTAATGACTACCATCATGACAAGTTACTAAAACAAGGTTTTCTTATCCTTACACATGTCTATTGCATGTACTATAAACATGTCAATGAAGATAAGAACGAATCCACTATACTTGAAAAGATATATGCTATCTTATCTTGTAAGATATTAGGTCATAATAGGTGTAGGCCACAACCTTATGTTTGGATCCAATTTGTATGATATTATTGGGTCCAAATTTCAATTTAGTTTAGCGAAGTTTTCAATTCTGTTTGTATGATGTGCTTATAAATAGAAAGGCTTGTAATATCATGTTAAGGGTGTTGTAACAACACCAATTGGTGGTGAATAGAAAGAAGTGTGGTTTTGGTATGCAGGAAGTTGAATATCTTTGTCACATTATTCTAAACAAGGGGTAGCAGTGGATCAACTAAGATTAAAAGTGTGGAGAAGTGGTCAGTCCCCAAGATAGTGAAGAGGGCATGAGGATTCTTGGGACTGACTAGTTATTATAGGAAATTCATTAAGGATTATGGAAAAAGACGAAACCACTAACCGATTAAATGGAATGAGGTAGCACACGAAGCATTTGAGTGACTCAAGGTGAAACTGACCTCAACTCCAGTGTTAGCTTTACCAAACTTTCAAAAGGAATTTATTATTGAATGTGATGCTTCAAGGCAAGGTATTGGGGGCATTTTCATCCAACATGTTAAACAAATTGCTTATTTTAGCAAAGCTTTGGGCGAGAAAAGTTTGTCCAAGTCATCCTATAAGAAGGAATTAATGGTTGTGGTCCTCGCTATTCAACATTGGAGACCCTATTTGTTAGGGAGTAAGTTCATAGAGAGGACTGATCATAAAAGTTTGAGACAACTACTCCTGCAAAGAATCACTAAAGGGGATCAACAAAATTGGGTTGCAAAGTTATTGGGTTATCGATTTGATATTGAGTATAAACTAGGGTTGGAAAACAAGAGGGTGCATAGAATTGGTGATGGTGATTTCTAACAATTAATACATTACCCTCAATAGGATGGAGTTCAAACGATTATAGAAAAGTGCATGGAGAAGAAAAGTTGATGTGGATAATCATAGCCTTGAAGCAGGATCGTGAACCCAAACCAGGTTTTGAATAAATGGAGTTTTGTTACATGAAGGAAGATTAGTCTTATCTTCTAACTCCTCATGGATTCCCAAGATGTTGCAAGAATTTCATGAGACTTTTCAAGGAGGCCACTCTAGATATTACCGGTGAACATGTTTTGGTTTGGTATGAAGAAGATAGTCCAACAATTTGTAACGAAGTGTGATGTTTGCCAAAGACATATCTAGCAACTGCAGCAACAAGTTTGCTTCAACCCCTAAATATTCTGAAAAAGTGTGGGAAGAGATCTCTATGGATTTCATAATTGGGTTACCGAGATGCAAAGGGTATGCGGCAATTTGGGTGGTCGTTGACAGGCTATCCAAGGATAGCCATTTCCACCCCTTAAAACATTCTTATTTTGCATATATCTTAGCATATATTTTCACCCGGAAAGTGGTACAATTACATGGGATTCCAACTTCTATAGTCAGTGACCGAGATCCAATCTTTGTGAGCACATTTTGGAGATAATTGTTTAAACTGCAAGGGACAACTCTCAAGATGAATACCACCTATCATCCACAAACAGATGACCAAACTTAAGTAGTAAATCATTGTTTGGAGACATTTTTACGTTGTATCGTAGCAGATCAGCCAAATTAGTGGGTGCAGTGGCTATCATGGGTGGAATATTGGTATATGTGAGAAATCAAATAGTATTTTAGGAAAGAATAAATAAAGAAATTTGTATATTTCCTTGTAATCTGTACAGATTTGAATAATTAGAGAACAATCCCATAAATCAAAGGATCCTAGCATAAAATAGAGTTATTATATTTCCTAAAATAGTTTAGGTCTCTTGTATATATCTTATATCATCTCTTTGTATTGATATAATAAAAAATCATATTTCAGCTTAATCTATTTTTCTCAGATGGTATCGGAGCTTCCGATCTAGGAAGCTCTGTCTGCGCTCGATAAACCCTAAGACGGCAACCTGCATTGCTCGCTGCATATTTTGTAACCCTAAGACGGCAGACTGCATTGCTCGCTGCATTTTTCTTAACCCTAAGACGGCAGCCTACATTGCTCGCTGCATTTTTCTTAATCCTAAGACGACGACCTGCATTGCTGCTGCATTTTTCATAATCCTAAGACGACGACCTGCATTGTTGTTGCATCGCACCTTTTGCTATAATGTCAAGGGAAGAGGAGATAGAAAGGGTGAAAACCATTCTTAGTAAGTCTGGAAAAACCTACAGGTATGTGTTCTTTGGCATACTCGGGTAAGTTTCCACCTTCTTTTGGATTAAATGTCTCGGATACGCCTTTTAACCATTATTGGATATTGGACTCGGAGCCACAGATCACATGACACCATTAGCCAAACACTTCTCCACATATTCCCCATGTCCCCGCAACAAGAAAATTGCCACAGCAAATGGAACCTTTATAACTGCAGCTGGTCAAGGAAATATCCAAATCAATCATTTAATAACCTTAAAAGACGTTCTCCATGTCCCAAAGTTGTCCACGAACCTAGTGTCTATACAAAAACTTATAAAGGATTTGTCATGTAAAGTTGTTTTTTCCAACGATCATTGTGTATTTCGGGATAAGGATTCGGGGAGGATGATTGGACATGCTAGAGAATGGAATGACCTTTATTATCTCGAAGATCCAAGTCCGCCTGAGCAAGAATAGAATCTCTCACTCCTTCATATCTCGAATCCTTGATGACCAACGAGAGAAAAAATCATGCTTTATCATTGTCGGTTGGGACATCCCTCTTTTGGAGTGATATAAATTATATTTCCCTCTCTGTTTACCAAGTTAGATGTTGAGAGTCTTCATTGTGAGGTGTGTGAACTTGCTAAGCACAAACGTATATCTTTTCCAATAAGTAATAGAATTAGCAATTTCCCTTTTTATCTTGTTCATACCGATGTATGGGGACCTTCTAATATTCCAAATGTGTCCGGTACTCGATGGTTTGTCACCTTTATAGATGACTCGTACAAGGGTCACTTGGGTTTTCCTACTTAAACAAAAATCAAAAGTCAGTTTTGTCTTCCTAAACTTCCACTCCATGATAAAAAATCAGTTTGGTGTTAATATTAAGAGGCTTAGGTCAGATAATGCCAAAGATTACTTCAATCATGTCCTTAATTCTTTTTGTCAAAAAGAAGGTATAATTCATGAGTCCTCTTGTGTCAAAACACCACAACAGAATGGGGTCGCAGAGAGGAAAAATGGACATCTATTAAATCAGACTCGGGCATTGTTGTTCCAAAAAAGTGTCCCAAAAAATTTCTGGGGGGAAGCTGTCCTTACAGCAACATACCTTATCAATAGACTACCCTCTAGAGTCTTAGGATCAAAAAGCCCTATGGAAGTTTTGTCGTCTTTCTATCCAAACTTGTCTACTACAAATAATCTTAAACCAAGAGTTTTTGGGTGCATCTCATATGTCCATATTCATAGTAAAGAGAGGGGAAAACTTGATCCTAGAGCCTTTAAGTGTGTCTTTGTTGGTTACTCACCCACTCAAAAAGGGTATAAATGCTACCACCCCCCCATCCAAAAAATTCTTTGTGTCTAGGGATGTTACCTTCAATGAACAAGAGGGTTATTTCCATCAACCTTATCTTCAAGGGGAGAGTTTTAGGGAAGATAAGGAAAGTAGTGATTCTGGTTTTCCCATTCTTCTAGACTTGACATTTGAACCTAAACGAAATCATATTGAAAGTAGTAATTCTGGTTTTCCCATTCTTCCAGTCTTGATATTTGAACCTAAACAAGATCAAATTGAAGATCAAATTGAATTTGTAACAAATGAAACAAGTCAAGGAATTGGTCAAGCAAAGGAAGTTGGTCAAGAAAGTGAAATTAATTGTGAAGCTGATCAAGAAGATGTTGAAACTGGAAAATTTGGTAAGAAGCTGGTGTACTCAAGGAAGACTAAGGCCATTCCAGGATCAAGCCATGTTCAAGAATCCAACTCGACTCCACAAAAAGAGGTAACAATTTTTTCTCCAGCATGCAGGTTGAAATTGAAACCCAAAATGATCCCGACCTCCCAATTGCCATTAGAAAAGGAACAAGAAAATGCACCAAACGAGCCACTCTACCCTCTCTCAAATTACCTGTCCTTTAAAAATTTCTCTCCTACCCATAAAACCTTCCTAGTAAACCTAAACACTGTACTTCTACCTAATACCCTATCTGAGGCATTGTTTGACAGAAAATGGAGGGCAAGCCATGGATGAAGAGATGGAGGCATTGGAGAAAAACAACACTTGGGAGTTAGTCACCTTACCAATAGGAAAGAGGCCAGTTGGATGTAAATGGGTCTATACAGTGAAATACAAGGCTGATGGATCAATTGAGAGATATAAGGCAAGACTAGTTGCCAAAGGGTTCACCCAAACCTATGGAGTTGATTATTTGGAGACCTTTGCTCCGGTTGCCAAAATGAACCCAGTTAGGGTGGTATTGTCCCTTGCTGCCAATTATGGTTGGAACTTGGAACAATTTGATGTTAAGAATGCATAGCCCAAAGGAGACCCATTTACAAGCTGCCCACAGAATTTTACAGTACCTTAAAGGAACTCCAAGAAAAGGGATTCTATTCAAAAGGAATGGTAATGTGAAACTTGAAGTCTATACTGATGCTGATTATGCAGGGTCAATTGTGGATAGGAGGTCAACTACAGGATATTGCACCTTTCTTGGAGGAAATCTTGTGACTTGGAGAAGCAAAAAGCAGGGTGTAGTGGCTCAGTCCAGTGCTGAAGTAGAATTCCGAGCCATGGCACAAGGTATATGTGAGTTGCTATGGCTTAAAATCATCTTAGAAGACTTGAGGATAAAGTGGGAAGAACCTATGAAGCTCTATTGTGAGTCGAGCAATCGAGTATAGCCCACAACCCAAGTGCAGCATGATAGAACAAAGCATATTGAAGTAGACAGACACTTCATCAAAGAAAAGCTTGATAGTGGCTTGATATGCACTCCATATGTGTCCTCTCAAGACCAAATTGCGGACATTCTTACCAAGGGACTGGGCTGCCATAATTTTGAGAAGATTGTATCCAAGCTGGGAATGGAAAACATCTATTCACCAAGCTTGAGGGGGAGTGTGAGAAATCAAATAGTATTTTAGGAAAGAATAAATAAGGAAATTTGTATATTTCCTTGTAACTGCATGCATTTGAATAATTAGGAACAATCCCATAAATCAAGGGATCTTAGCATAAAATAGAGTTATTATATTTCCTAAAATAGTTTAGGTCTCTTGTATATATCTTATATCATCTCTTTGTATTGATATAATAAAAAATCATATTTCAGTTAATCTATTTTTCTCAGAGTATATATACAATGGAAGGGCCAAAGAATGGAAGATGCTACATGGGAAGAGGAATTTTACATCAAAAGTCAGTTTCCACACTTGAGCCTTGAGGAAAAGGCTAGTCTTGAAGAAGAGGGTATTGATAGGACAAGGGATGTGGGCCTAGACACTAGCAGTAAGCCCAACGTTTGGAGGGTGTATGAAAGGAGAAAGAAAAAAAAAGGATGGGAAGTGTAGTGCTGAGGTGGCAAAAGATGTAATAGGATCAGTTAAGGAGTGAGAGGGAGAATATAGGGGAAGAAAAAACGGAGTGACGGGAGTGTGATATTGAGTGTAAGGAGCTTGCTCTGTGGCAGTAGGATTATGAATTCTATTGTCTTTTCGGATACTTTTTTCTGAGTAATAATACTTGAATTATCTCATCCATATTATCATTCTTTGAGTTCTTTTGTTATCCCTATCATTCTCATAATCAAAATAACTCAATAATGCGACGAAGAATCTCTCCTCAGCAGCGGCAGACCGTAAGAGGGTTAGATGGGGCAGCTTCCCCTTCCCTTCCCCTAAATTTGTCCATACTATGTTCAAATCACCATAATTTCTGTGTCATTTTCACCATAGAAAAGACTAATTTAAATGTGACAATATATACCAAATATCTTAATTACTCTATCTAAATCAAACTAATTCGTTCCCAATAAAAGACAAGAGAACTATGTAATACTTAAAGGTATAGATAGGCTACGATTTTATGTTTCATATCACTACAATAATAACCCCCATATAAATCAAATGAAATCAATCCAGAATTAAACATGAGCTCCTATAACTTGAACCTTGGTTTGTTGATTAATGCACAAAGCTAACTAGGTATTTCTAAGTTAGCTTATTGATATTATATATTTTATACTATCAACAAATTATGTATTACACTAGCTACTAATTCACATTCTATTGAAGTCACTCTAGGCATTAATGCTCACAAAATTGCAGTGAAGTTCCATCACTGATTTTAAAGCTCCCAGGCACCCAATAAAGAAGAAGAAAGTAAAACTATTGAATCCATAAACTATACCATCTTGTAGTGATCAGGTTTCTCTGTTTTCTTTGTAAAACTGGGGATTAAACCCCATTTCATGCAATGAAGAACATAGCATCCACTATCAGATGCGTCTTCCCTACGAACTACTGGCATGTTGGATCCAGGTGACACATTATACGCCGGCCTATACCTAAGCACATAGTCAAACTCAACTGTTAAACACAAATTTCACATCAACCTATTTCTTTCAAAGATATAGTAGTTCCACCGTTGTTGGTCAAATGAAAAAAATAAAATAAAATAAAGCAATATCTTATTTCATTCATATTCAGGAACCAAATTCCTCGGAGTGGAATTTTTCACACAATCAGCGAAGCAGAATAACTAACGAAGCTCAGAAATGCATGTTTTGAGTCTCATTCACTGATACAAAATAAGCCATCTCATCTTCATCCACGATTCTGATTTGCAAATAGTGTGCATGTGTGAAAAATCCAACTACAGAATAATGCCTCAACTTCTTTTCCAAGGACAGCCATTTTAAATGGACTTGAAGAAACCCCCAACATAACAAACTTAACAATAAAAAAACAAAAACAAAAAAACCTTTTTTCTTTCATTTTGCCTTTGGTTCCGGAAACAACCATTTCAGACCCTCTTGATGTTATGCCCTAAAAAGTTATTCATTTTTTTTCACACAAGTTATGCTACCAGTTGCAGTGAACCATCATAGACAGAACAAGCACTGAATAAAAAGATTGAAAAGTTAAAGAAATAAAATAAAATAATATATATATTCCCCCGGTTGTTTCTGCTTTGGCCTACCTCCTATTAACAAGTGAATAAAGAAGTGTTTTGACCAACACGAAATAAATAAAATGAAAATAGTGGGAAGCTGGGAAGAGTTAGTTTTTCGTGCTTGTGACTGTTCCACTGATGAAGTTATAGCTTTTACCGGTCCATATGGAGAGTACGGGAAGGAGCATCGCTGCGGTGACAAGCCCTTGGAACATCATCAGCCCTTAGAGTACATCGTGTTCTTCCACACATCTCTCTCACGCACACAGTGATGGGGTTTCCTTTCTACAAGGCGGGAATATAATACGACACTTTTCTTATGAGAAACTGCTACAAAGGCATGTCTTGGGCCGGACCAAACTGGAAAATAACCAAATCTTACCAATGTGACACTTTCTTTCACCACCCATAATTTCTTCTTGTACCACCGTATTCCATGCAAAATAATTAAAATACTTTTCCAATAATTTTTGTTTTAAATTCTAAGACATTCTTTTACACCTTCATTGTTTATCTTCAATACTTCCATAGATCTAAAAATTTAGTTTCTTTTGCTATCACTTCCATTTAAGATCATTTTTAGTACTTAAAGGTGAATTATGGTTAATATTATGTATATATTTCATGTTTTTTTACTAAAAATATACATTGAGACTCAAATTACTTGATTTATAATAATTTTTCAAAAATCAAATTGAGTTCTAGAATAATCAATCCAGAATAAATTTTTGATTGAATTTTCTAGAAATACATTATAAAACACCAAATCCGAGAAGATGAATCCGAAACAAGATTTTTAGAAAAAAATTTCCAAAAACAAGTTCCGAAATATATTTCTGAAAAATATTACCTAGAAAAAGGTTCCAAAAAGTGGGTTCCAGAATAATATTTCAAATTTTTTTTCCAAAGACACATTCCAAAAAATGAGTTTCAAAATATATTTTCAGAATTAATTTGATGGAAACGTATTCGAGATTAGTGGGACTGAGATATACTTCGAGGAGGTGGGTCTGAATTTGAAAATATATTCTGAAATTATTAAACAGGAATGTGTTTCGAGATAATCAATTCTAGAAATATATTCTAAAACTTGTTTTCATACCATCTTTTTTGAAAATATAATCTCAATCCTCAGTCTGAGTCGTGTTTCCCGCAAAAAATCTTATTGCCCGAATACTGTACATAATAAAAAATTGATACAAATTAAAAAAAAAATAATATTCTTACCTATTTCTTGTAATTCTTGTAATAATTGAAGAAGAAAGAATGAAAATGCTTTAGGATTTAAAAATTAAATATTCAAAGGTTTAAAAACCAAAAATAGAAGGTAAGTATAAGGAAAAAATAAAATTTAATTTAATTATAGAGGTACATTAAGAAAAGAAATTATAGAGGTATAAAAAGAAGGTGTCATGTTTCACCAGTTTTAAATGAAAGATTTTGTTCCAATGACAAATTAAATTTATATTTTAATATTGTATCGAATTTTATTTGATTAAATAATAAATATAATGAAAAGTATAAAAATTATGAATTGTTATAATAATTAATTTATATATTTCATTTTATAAAAATTAATAATATTTTACCATCATTAAAAAAATAAATTCAAACCTTTCTATTTGCAGATTCTCACTACACACAAAAAAAATGCACACTTCAATCCACTTTGATATGGTTTCACGAAAAAAAAAAAAAACATTAATGATCCATATTATTTTCGGATTATATATATATATATATTTTTTTTATCTAGATAAGATATTAGGTTAACAAATCAATATTAATTTTATTAGAAATTAAATGAAACAAATTATAATATATCTATATAGAATAATTAATTTAAAGAAATAAAAAATATATATTTTTATAATTTAAATTATATTAATAATTTTTTTAGAATAAAATAATTTAATATATAAATTATTTACTCTAAAAAAATAATTAAAATATTGTTTTTTATTCTTATATTTAATCATCTAAAATAGTAATTTATCATCATACTTAAATAAGTAAATGTTAAAGCTTTACTTCTATACTTTACTCTTAAAAATAAATAAATTCATTCTCAAATTATTTTATATAATGTGTATATTTAATATTTTTATGTAGATATTAAAATTCATAACAATAATAATTAATATTTTTAAAATTGGATCGTAAATTGGTATAAACATAATTTAATAAAATAATATTTTTATAGTATAATAAATTCATTAGTAACGATAATTTTCTATAACAAGAAAAAATAATAAAATTTGTTTTTATAATAAATGATATAAATATAATATATTAGACCGTGAAAAATTAATAATAGTTAAAATACGACAAAAACATAATAAAATAATAATTATTAAAAATATATTGATGTAAGATAAATAAAATAAATAAAATTGAAAATATTATATTTTTTATAAAAAAATTATTTAAAATTTTTTTAATCTTTATTTTTTTATTAAAATTGGTTTAATCCAAAAATTTAACTGATTTTACATATTTAATTAAAATTTAGTTATTTAAAAGTAACAACCTCTTTTTTTACTGGAACTAGTCAGATTAGTTTCCAAATAAGTGATAATAATAATAATTGAAGTGTTCATATTCTTAATTGAATTGTAAAATTGTAGATATTATTAGTATTATTAAAAGTAAAAATAAAGAATACATAATTTGAAATTATATTTATTAAAATATTATAAATACATAAAGTTCTTAAAACAACATAATACTTGAAATAGTCGACAAGTAATATCAATACAAGTTTGTTTTGGATGGTAGAAGTGTGGAAGTAAGAAAAGATTTTGCAATTTTTAGTGTTTCTAAATGTCTATTTTTGTTTATATGCAAATTAACTTTGACCAATTCTTTAAAGTTCTTTTTATTTCTTAGATATGGCATAAAATTAACCCTATGGTCAATAATTTTCATGTCTTAGTTTTTTATCAATTTGTTATACAACTTATTGTAAGTTGTATATAAGATTAATGTAATTAGTATAATAATGGTGTGCATAAAAATCTTACACTCATTCAATCAAATTTAAACACTCAATAAAAAAATATTTATTATAATCATTATTAAATAAGAGTTAAATTTTGGATTATTGTAATGATAATTATTCTTTAACTTAATTTTAAAATTTGAAATTGCATTAAATAGTTTCGTAATTAAATTTGAATACAATTTCTTATAAAAATAAATAATGAAACATCAAAAATTTTTAATGGTGAAATTTGTATACTTGTTTCGAAAATTTCTATTAGTAAAATATAAAAATAATTGTAAAATTAAAGAAATTTAATTTAATGATTTTATTAACTTTATTGGTTAATAAAAAAATTGTTATTTATTATAATTAATCATAAATACTTCTGAAATTAGTACATATAAAATATTTTTTGATTGTTTAATTATATTAAAAAAATTAGTGTATATATTTAATTTATATTTGATAATATACTTTTGATTATTTAATTATATTAAAAAAAAATTAGTGTCGAGATTCAAAATTGAATGCAAATGAGCTTCAAAAAGGTTGAGAACAAATAGCACACTTAAACCAGAATCAATAAGGTTAATCAATTGTGAGATTTTATGCGTAGTGTTGAGTTAAGATTTTGCACAAAAAATATCCTTATTGTGAGAGTTTGAAAGGGATATTTATTTATTTATTTTTAAATAGAAATTGAAAACATAGGATGCCTTACTAATCAGTTGTGCTCTTTTTTTCAGTGGGAGGTTATTGTTAACATTATTTACACTATCATAAATAAATCTTCTAATATGTCTAAATTTCTTTCCATATCTCACTCTACTTGAAATAAATCTCAATAAACACTTTTAAGAAAACATAAAATAAAAAAATTATAAAAAATCATTTTTATAAATTAAATTAAGTCATTTATAATTTAATTAATTTATGTATAAAATTAATTTCTATAATTTACTTCATGTTTAAATTTTTTATTTTTAATTTACTTATAAAATAAGTCATTTTTTTTAAAATAATGTTAACAGAAAAATTTATCCAAAAATTATTTAAGAGACATTTGTTTCATAGTATGAATTTATATTCCCGAAAATTATATTCTCCGGACTATTTCAGCCAAAAATGGTATTTCCATAAACATATTCGGTTAGTATTAATGATTTTAAAGAGATATATTTTATTTGAAACTGAAAATAACCTTAAAAAAAAATAGAACCTTCCGTGAAAAAAAAAACCATTTTTTTTAAAAGGCCTAATTTTCCTCCTACTATACCACAAATATATTCTCATAACTACATATCAAAAGTACGAATATTTATTATGAAAAAATGAATGAGATGAAACAAACACCTCCTACCTAGAGTCCATAAGTTGAAAATGAAGGTAAGTCCTTAAACTGAATCCATCCTAGAGAGTTTGAGTAGGCTACCATGTGGTCCAACTTGAAGAGAGGGAACCCTACCAAACATTGAAAAATGAGGCTGAAACTCTAGTTTCCCTTGTGCACACTGGGAATTCACCCTCAGATTGCTCTTATTATCTGTGGCTGATTTCTTGCGGTGGAGACGACACCTGAATGAACCTTCATGAGTGGTTGGTGCGCAAAAGCACGCCTTAGAATGTGTTCCTGATTTGTGTTTGTTTTCTTTTATGCTCAACTTCTCTGTCTCTTCCCTTATTATCGTCACCTTGAACAACTCCTTTCCACCTTCATTCTTCTTATTGTGACCACCAATATTGGACTTTTTCTTTGAGATGTTTACTTGTTTGCTTTCTGTCACATTATTCGCCTTCTCAATACTCCTCTTTCTCAACAACATCAGTTCTTCTACTTTTGCTCTTGGCATGTTCTGCATATTGCTGGTTCTACTCATTATAGAAGTGGCAAATTTCTTAATAACATAATCATAAGTTGACATATAATCCAAATATCATAAATTGTTATGTAATTGGAAATTATTAACTTCTAATCATTACTTTAAAAAGCAATTTCTAAGGTGGTTTCCACTTGCAGAAGATGATACCCAAAAGAGAACAGATGGTTATATCCCCATCAAAAGGAAGAATGTGCTTCCTATCTTTACCAATTACATGCTCTAGAGTGATTTAAAACAAAATTGGATTCTCAATATATGATATAAAAAGAAACACATTCCAGGAACCAGCACTGATTCTGCAGAAACAACCCATGTTACGCACATAATGAGTTTATCCATTCCTGAAAAATTGTTAACCCCAAATTTTTATCCATGTGATTTTGAATTTAATTAACCAACCCCACCCATTAACTTCCAAGATCCATATGAAAAAAAGTAAAGAAAATTTGTTAAATTTTACACAGTAAAAAAAAAAAAAAAAATCTCAAGCACACTTTCTTTCAACTTGGTCACGCGTTACAAACAGAACAGAAAAGTAACAATTTTGGGAATCCAAGAACTACTACACAAAGCTCATCAACTCACATGAAATGAAAGAACTTGCAAAATGATGGATCTAGAAGTGAAACAAACCTGAGATAGGTTGTTCTTGGAGTGAAAATTGTTGATAACAACTCTGATTTAGACGTGGGAATGGAAGAACTCAAAAAGTTGAACTAGATCGAAGTCGGGTTTAGCAATTTCAGATTAAATAATACTCCTGTGCAGGAAAAACAGAAAGATATGTATATGAACAGAAGAAACCTCTTGAAAGGATTACGCGCACTCTCACCTAGTGTAGAAAATCGACACTTGGACTTCACGAAGAAAAATCTCGGTTAGTTTTTCTTGATAGTGCGAAGTTATTTATGAAGTCTACATATAACTAACTAATTAAAAAAAAATTATATCAAGATATGATGTATTTTATTTTATAATATAATTCTTCATTCAATATTATTTTTATAACTTTAAAATTTATTTATTATATTTAGACAATCTAATCTAATATATTTAATAAAACTATACTACATTATTACTACCTTTTATTGATTAACAAATATAACTTAATTTTATGATCAATATTTTAATTAAAATATCTTTAATATTTAAGTATCAAAAGATCGTCTATCAAGAATTATAAAATCTAAGTGTCAACATTAATAAATAGATGGTAGACGATGTCAACGTACTAAAAAAATAATAATCAGTTTTACTACTTTATCCTTTTTATACACATTGAATTGTTCATTGTTTAGATGGGAACAAAAAATTCAATGCTAAAACATGATTTTGACGCATTCTAAAAATTTACTAACAAAGTTAAGTAGAGAAGTTGACTAGGTCAAAGGGCAATCATCATTAAGTAAAACTGGAGGACAAATATGAGTAAGTTAGAAAGGTATGTTTTTGGAAAGTTGAAAAGTACTATTATTTTGAAAAAAGATTAGATTGATAAAACACTGATAACAAATATCTATTTAATAACTTTATTTATTAATAAAAAAATATTTTTTAATTAATTTTATTTTAAATTTCTAAATATAATATTAATAAATAAGATTATATAATGAATATTTTTATTTTTTTGTCAAAATACTCTTTTGTTATTTTTATTTAAAGTTCACGTTCAAACAAAACTAGTACGTAAATTAATATTTCAATTATTACTTTTCGTTGTTGCCTATATAAATACCATGCTCGTATGCATATAGAAAAGAAGTAATTCTCATACACTTAGTTTTTTCATCCATCTACTACACACCCATATTTGTGACATTTTATTATTATTTTTGTTTACCTTAGTGACAAATTATGATGACAAATCAGAATAAAAGTTTAAAAGTTTTGAAAGATTAATCTCAAAGAAACAAATAAGGGCAAAATTCAAGTGAAAAAAAAAATTACATAAATTCTTTGTGACGATTGAGCAAGGTAATGGTGAAGAAAAAATTATTCTCAAAGAGATGATGAGTTGTTGGAAGGAGCACCTTTTTGGTTGTTGGCGAGATCTCATCCATTAGCAAAACTGAGCCGCTGGAAGCAAGACACTTTGAGCTTGACAAATTTCAATTAAAGGCATGAGCATGCATGCAATTGGCATAGAAGTTTTAGCCCTAATGTTAGTTATATTCATTATTCTATGTGATATATACTGTATTGTCTGAATTAATTTTACAGCTGTGTCGCTGTGACAAAGTACATTAAAATTATATTTGTATATTTCACTTCAAATTTTACAAAAGCATAAACAAGAAGCCTAATCATAAGCAAACAAGACATATAAGTAGTGATTTTATCATATTCACATTGAAACAGGGTAGTATAAAATTAGTTATTTATCACTTTCCAAAACAATCCAAATCATAATCACCGACAGGAATAGAGGACAAAAAGACAAGAACAATCCAAATCAAAGAGAACAAAAGAACACAATTAACACTAACTGAGAATAATGTGAGCAAAGACACAATATACGTTAATGATAGTGCAACTAACTCTATCTATCTTTGACAACCACGACGACCTTGAAATTATGTAAATGATGAGGATGGTCAATCTCCTCTCTTGTCTCTCGTTATGATAATAAAGTGGTTAGTCGTTAAGAGATTAGTTAGGGAGCAAATAAAGCTAACAAGAGCATTGCTTCGATAAGACGTTTTTGTAATCAATGCATAATAATGTATATCTTCTTCTTAGTGTGATTTGTTCAGAATTTACTCTTAATTTCCTACCTTTTTCGTAATTGTCGTGTTCTTTTACACCTAGTTACCCGAGTTCTTAGCAATTCGTATCAACCAAGTTGATTTTGTGGGATTATAGATGACAAAGTCAATCAATTCTAAAAGCAGCAGTGACAGATCTTTTTGGGAGCTGAGGGAGGCCGTGACCCCTCCCAAAGTTTTGTAACTCTCATGTAATTTATGATTTTGGTCCCCCAAACATAATGAACATTTAATATATTTATTTATATATTTACAATTTTATTCTCTCAGCTCTCCTCGGTTTTGTAACTCTCATATAATTTATGACTTCAAACTTAATGATAATTTAATATATTTAAGTATATATCTACAATTTTATCTTTTCACCCTTTCATCTTCTTTTTTCCTTTTATATTTATTTATAATTTATTAATAATATATTATTTGGCCCCTCCAAGATCAATGGTCAAGATCCGCCACTGAGAAACAGATGTTTATAATGTGTATTTAACATGAAAAAAATTAAAGGATGTGTTATGTAATATTTTTAGTAGAATATTATGCTTGACTTTTTGATGTATGAACAACTATAATTTCTTAAAACTAAATGACTGCATCTACTCATTTTTTGTTATTTTGTGATATTTTAAGCATTTCACTCATTTTGTGACATTTTAAGTATTTGATTGATAATATGACATTTTAATCATTCCACTCATTTTATTGAATTTGTGACATTTTAAAAATTCAAATTATAACAATAATTTTATAATATTTACTTCGCATTGATGGTTGTATTTTACACTATTATAGAAATTGTTTACTTTTAAAAAATGTTTAAAAATTGGTTACATGGTTATAATTAAATTAAAAATTCTATATACTCAAGTATTCAATATTTTATATAATCTTTATATTATCTTTAATTATTTAATGTTATTTTGTTTATTTTTGTTATCAACTATTGATAAAAAAATTTGATATTTTATAATTTTATACGAACATAAAATTTGATATGATAATATTTTATAATTTTATTGTATCTAAATAGATTGTGAATTAATTTTGAATAAATAAATGAATAATTTATTATTTAAAAAAATTATATAAATATTTTTTTAATTAAATAAAAATGTTCGTTAATCCGTTGATTAATATAAGATAATATTAAACAAAATTTTTTGGCTATATTTGTTTATGGCCTATAAAAACCGTTAAAACGGACGGGGTAAATGGACATGACCCATTTTGATTTTTCTTCTGATTTTATTTTGACCAAAATAAATAATGAACTTTTGTGCTTTTGCTTTGTGATATTGATTTTTATTCATTTCTGATACTGATTTTTACTAATTGCATCAATCAATCTAGTCCGGATTCGATTAAGCAATGGATATATTTTTATCTTTTACAACATAAATTTCAAAAATATTTACATATATTTGATTAAATATTTTACACTAAAACGTAGATGTTATCTCGATTAATTAAATATACATAAAAATAATAAAATATCTTTTACTATATGTTAACACGTCATTATTATAACATATATCAATCTGAATCAATTTAGATTAACTAGTCTCCTTTATATTTTTATAGAAAGATTTTCCAAATTGTTTTGTTTAAATACATATTTCAGATTTTTGTTTCAAATCAATAAAAATAAACATTATTCTTCTAACAGAATTCACATTCACCTTCCCAAATCCGACATACCACGTATCATAACATTTAATATTTACAATAATTAGAAAATATTACTATATGTTTTATTAGAAGAAAAAGAAAAATATAATTTACTAACTAGAATAACACCGTATGTATCTATAGTATATGTACAATCATGTTGAACAATCAGATTAAACTTTGTCCTAATTTTAACTTATCTAGATTCAAAAATATGTGTGACCACGGTGAATTTTTGGCAGTTATAGGATGCACTCCAACTACCGGTCGTTCTGTTATGTCAACACAGAGGGAATATGCATAAGAGGTGATATGGACACATGAACTTTTTTACGAACTTGTTTTTTTCTTCTCATTCTTTACACACTTTTTCAAAGTTTCTAGTTATAACAACAACTCAACCATCGTTCATCAAAGACCAAAAGCAAAAGCAAAAGTGAAACCAAAAAGCACACTCTAAATTGGCAACAAGATCATTCCATGTCATGACTATAATAATAATAATAATAGTCTTGTTGGGTTCAAAAGATGCTGCTTTCACAGGAG